AAAAAAAAACACACACACATCATTGTAAAATCAATACATTCATCACTTCGTTCAGAATCTAAAAATGTTATGGCATTGTAAATTTTTCATCTACCAAATCATTATAATTTTAATCGTCCATTAACAGGGAGCTTACAAAAAATCAACTACCATAGATGATGTTCTTGATCAGTGATTACATTGCCATGGAGACGATCAATATTATATTATCCATATTATAGTAAGGGCTGTTTTTAGGGTCTTCCCAGCAATTATYCGAATTTTTCTCGCTGTAAAAACCATCATTGGACTTCAATGAACATTAGAAAAAAATTGCCCAAATTGGTCCAGGCGTTGTTGAGTTATGCGCTTATCAATATATTTTGCGATTCATTTTTATATTATAGATTTACTATCCAATTAGTTTTGGAAAATGAGCTAAATAATTTAAGCCATTTGTTCGCTGTATCTTTATCACCAATATTTGTGCGCACGGTAAAAATATTTTTATTAGTGTCAAACTTTGTCCAGTCTATTTCACAAATAAAATTTTCATTGATTAGAATAATTATTTCTTCAGTATATGAAGACATTTTTTTATTATAATTTATGAGTTAATGAATAAAACTATAATTAATATACTATAAAATAAAAATATAAAACCCTAATATAATAGTGGTATATAGACTATAATATAAGTAGAGTATAAATTCCATAGTGTATTATAATAGTTTGTTGGCTGATTTTTTTTATGGCATCATAACATATACTTTTTACAAGGTGTGGTTGTTAAACCCACGCTTAACCCCCATCCTGGAGGACCAGTCTACTGTATCCAATTAAGGCCAGAGTAGGGTGAAATGAACCAATTAATTAAAGTCAGTTCAGTTCATAGCTCGGGGCCCCGGGTTCGCCATACCCGTCGCACTGTTAGTGCTCCCCTGAGGATATATTAATAATTTATATAGCATTAAAATAGTAGACAGAATTTATAGTTTTTATCGGTTTTCGGTAAAAATCAGTGAACGGTTATAAGCCCTAATAATATTATTATAATCGTAATACAATTTATTATATTATGACTGCTTTTTGATTGCAGTTTATTTATATCTTAACATGATGTTTGACAATTAATATTAATAATTAAAAGTGATATAGAATTATATAATTACAACTATGTACCTACTCCCGATTATCCGCTTAACACCATTGTGTAGAGTTCCAAATTTGTGGTTGGATTTCATATAAAACGGCTCCAAATAACTTAAAACTCATTATTTCCACATTCCATGTTTATTCAAATAAAAAAAGTTAATTTTTAAGTCTAAAAACATATATTAAATTGTATAAAAACGCATGCGAAATTTAAATTAAATTAAAATTCATTATAATAGGCTYGCTGAGCAACGCACAGTGAGGACCTATCTAGAGGGTCACATCAACATTTAATAATACTTCATTAAGAACTGCTTATGCGCTTAATTGTCTAATCAGGACACTTAATGATTACTGATGGATTATCATTTCTATTTTACCATGTTGTATAATTTGGTAGGTATTAAAAATGTGTACATTTATTCATTTTTTAGCTTATTACATGTATTATATGCTTATACATCGTCAGTGTTTTGGAAAAGAAAAACGTATTAATCATTTCGGGATTTGGAATGGCAATAACTTTATCTTTAATGAATGTCGCATACCATATAGAAATTAACGATAGTGATGAGCTATGGTTACCAAGTTTAATTTTAATTTACATAATATTTTATTCCATCGGATATGGTCCAGTTCCTTGGATGTTAATGACCGAAATATGCCCAAGATCAGTAAGTTAACAAGTTTATAGCAAGTATTTTACTCTTGCAAGATACTTATTAATCTATTTTAATAGGTGAGTAGATGCTTCATAAAAATATATTGAATTTATAATATGTTGTTATTATTTAAAAATAAATTACAAGAAGTTTTAATCTAGGTAGATTTTTTTTCAGTCAAGATTGTGGACTTCTGGCATCACGGTCAGTTTATACGCTTTCCTGAGCTTAATCAATAATCAATCATTTTACGAAAACATTAAATTAGTATATGGAATGGACATTTTCACTATTGTAACTGCATTTGGTRCATATTTTGCATATTTGTATGTACCAAAAACAAAAGACTGTATTCTAACATAAGATTTGGTTTATTTCATTCATTAAATTCGTGAATAAATTGAAAAATAAAAGACTTCATAATTTTAAGCATATAACGCCATGTGTATTCACTTGATTTGTGTCTACTAGTACCTAGGTATTTTTTTATAATAGTTAATGTTTATGCATAACTACAAAAGATGTGGGAGAAATTGTATATGCGTTATGTAGAAGGTAATTTCACATGAAAATATAAAATCGCAAAAAGTATAGTGAAACTATGATTATTAGAATTATTTAACAACCACAGCATTTACATTAAAAAAGTTAATTGTAATTACTCAGGTTAGGTAATAGAGATGCATTGCCTCTGTGGAAGGGGATTAGAATACTTACACGGCTCTTCAGACTGTCGTAAAGGCGACAAATGAGATTGAGTCAGGTCTACAGCCGGCATAAATTTTTTTTTCAAAAATCGTATASAGAAGTCCAATAAATTTTTTATTTTTTATTAGCTATTTGTATAAAACTGATAGCTCAAAATTTATAATCAATACATTATACATTATATTATACAACATAATATATTACATTATAATATTATATAATAAGGCCAGCATCCAATATGAAGGAAATTACTAATTTAATGGTGGTAGTGGATTTTGTGTTTAGTAAGGAGTAGATATTAAAAGGGATATGGGTAGGTTGTTCCAGAGAGAGAACCAAGTGTTGGTGGAGTGTTGTTTTATCAGAGGTGTGAAGTCCGAATGTGGGAGAAGAGAAAAAGAAGGAAAGATGAGATTGGAAGAGGATTTAGCGAGATGGTCTGCAACTTCATTAYCATGAATACCTGTGTGGCTAGGAACCCAAAGRAAGTTGATGTTATAGTTTTTTTGATTTAAGGTAAAAATAAGGAACTTAATGCGAAGGATAAGTAACAGCCTGTATTCAAACGCGACTTAACCAAACTAGCCAGAGCACCTTCACCCCAGTCTGTTCTTTAAATTAATTAAATTGATCTTAGAAAAATTCTCATAAAATAATATTCTAACTTAGAAAATATTCGAGTCAAACCGAATTTATTCTAGTCATCCAGAATACTTGACTTGTTAAATAAATTCAGCTTTCATGTTTATAAATAAATATATGTTTTGTCAAAATAAATAATCAAATAATCTAACTAAGAAGAATTCCATGTTGTTTAAATTAACTCAAGAGTCACCTTCCAACATCATCCTTGACTACTGATACCTGTAGGCGACGTGATCACTACAATATTAAAGCGCTTCAAATAAGACCAATGACCAATACATTTTATAAGTATGTTTTCCCATCTCGGATTTGTGCGTGGAAAAATATTGATAGGAAGTGTAGTAATTGGCTGTGGAGTTAGTCTGAGAGATGGATGATTAGTACTAGCCGGACAGTGGGTGCGGTAGCCGTTTCATCAATCACATGCGTAGGCGTATCCAACGTCCGTGATGTCAACGGTGTAGAGAAAGAATCACAGATTTAGAAGGTTGATTACGAAGAATCGGTTTAAAGTGAGACATGGTTTGTGGAATATAGGAACGCTGATGGGTAGATCCAGAGGATCAGCTTTCAGATAAAGTGATGAGTGATTGTAGTGAAAGTGATGGTGGAAGAAAAGGTATGGAATATAGTTAGCGCATATGCTCCACAAATAGGATTTGAGGTAAGTCAGAAAGAAGAGTTTTGTAGGGAAATGGATGGAGTAATACAGAGAATATCAGAAGCGGAAGAGATTAGGATTGGTGGTGACGTGAATAGTCATGTGGGTTGTGATAGAACTGGCTTCAATAGAGTACACGGAGGGTATAGATTTGGTCTCGGAAATGATAAAGGAGGAAAGGTGCTTGATTTCTCAACAGAGTGTAATTTGGCAATTCTGAACACAAATTTTAGGAATAGAGAAGAACATTATGTTACCTTAAAAGTGGAAGGAATAAGTCTCAAATAGATTATTTTATGGTGAGAAAAAGTTCGAATACGAGACAGTGTAAGGTTTGCAAAGTATTTCCAATAGAAAGTGTAACAACACAGCACAGACTTATGGCTATGGAGATCTGKTACAATATAAAGAGGTTGACAAGAAGGGAGAAAGTAAAGAAGGAATCATGAATTAAGCGATGGAAATCATATGGTGAGAATGAAAAACCATTCACACAGAAGATGAGAGAGATTGATAGTGTAAATGTAGAAGAGAGTATAAACGAAATGTTGGAAAGTGAAGCGGATAATAATAGTGTGGCTAAGGAAGTGTTAAGTGAAAGCAGAGCTAAAATGCTAGAAGATAAACAAACATGGAGGTTGGAAAAGAAAGTGTAAGCCATAATTTCAAAGAAAAAAAATCCTAGTATGAATTTTGGAAAAAATCTAGGAGAAGAGAGAATCTGTTTGAGTACAAAAATGTGTGTAAGGCAGCCAAAAAATCAATAAGTAAAACAAAATAAGAAATAGAATTAAGTACATCAGGAGATTTATGCGATAGAAGAATCCCAATCAGGTGAAAATTTAAATTTTATAAGACCGTATAAGTCCGGTGAAATCTGTAAGACCAGTATTTAACGAGATATGCGTGTGGAAATATGTTCACAAACTGTTAATTATCAAATACAAAGATTTGGTTTACGGCTGCACTTTTAAATTGTCGAGCAGTAAGTCTGAAAAAAAGCTCAAAATGGTCTTGACTCAATCTGTACATTGGTAAACTTTCAATGCAGTTATTATCTATCAACTATGTTTTTAATTTCAACATGCTATTAAATCATATTAAGAAACCCAAAAAAACAGTTTTTCTTTGTGAATTTAAAAGGAGTTCTCCATTTGGATATTTCAAACCTTCAAAATGTGAAAAAATATAGTTTTTAAAATCTTCAATTTCACAATAATTGAATTTACAAAGGGCTTTTTTTTACCGGTAGACTTAATATTTCTTGAATTAAGTACACCAAAACCATCGTTAATAATTCTTATAAAACGTATAGTACCATCACAATCTTCAAAATCATTTAAATTTAAATTAGTCTTACAGAAAAATAATGCATCAGCCAGGAAATGTAAAATTAGTCWTTAAGCTAGATATTCTTAGATCACAACCAAAGTTTTTGACCATTGTCATGTTTGAAGGACAGCCGTCAAATGTGAGACTAACAACTTTAACACCAGTTGAATGAATTTGCTCTAGGCATTGTTCAACAAGATTACCTTTTAGATCCGTGAAGTTGGCCGCATAATGTGAAAATTTTTGCCTTAAATTTTGTCAAAAATTTGTAAGTCATTTGTAAGTTTCAGTAAGCATAAATTCGAAATTTGTAACTACAGCCGTTATCAATTATCCRCAAAAACTTAAATCACGGCTAACTTCCGCGAAACTTGGCCGTTTTGGCATATCAAAGTTTTTGAAAGTGTCAAACTGTTCTGCGCAATTTGTAAGTATTTGTA